CTTAGTATCTAATGCATTTTGTTCTTGAGAGAATAATTTTTAAGGTCAAAGGCCACTTAGTGATACGTCATCAACTTATCAGCCATAAACTTTGATCAAACAAATTGAATAAAAATTTGACGAAGTAGACACACAGTTGTAGTTAAATTAAGACTAATGCAATTAATTGAAGAAATTATATTATTTAATATGATTATGATAAAGTATTAATAATATTATAAAATAAATGCATAATTCTGCATAATATGCAGAAAGAAGTTTTGATTAAAAATTCTCTCACAATTCATTATTTTCGAGAAATACAATGGAAATAAAGAAAGAAATATTTTTTTTTATGAAGAATTTATTACAACTTCAATGTTAAAATTGTATCGCTTCAGTATGAATTTGACCCTACTTTATATGAGTAATATTTTCTCGTGATTTATTGCATCTCACGGTTGATCATCCACATGAAAATAAATTTAAATGTATATAGATGTGTTTGAATATATGTAAATATATATACTTTATTATATTGACGTAGTATGAATAAAAATTTATTAATTCAATTCAATCCGAAAATAAATCACCTTTTTAATATGATTTTTGATTAAATATTTATATGTATTTGTTACATAGCTTGACATTGACGTGAATAAAAAAATTACGTAATAATTTCAATAAGCAATGTAATAAAAACTAGATATATTACAAAGTAAGGTGATACTTACAAACATATAAACATTTTTGTACTCGCAGAAGAATAAAGGTTTGCTCATGAACCTAGTATAATTATTTTTATTATTATTGATTGCATCAATGAAGGAAAAACAAGATTGATTCTACTATCAGGTAAGTCAATAAGTCTGTGCGTATTTTGTACACGTTTAAATTTGTTCTAGTTTTCGTGTGTAAAATTTTTATGCATAATCCGGATTTACCCTGCATATTATCTGGAATTAAAAAACTAAATCTAGTAAATATTCATTAACTATCAATCATTATCATACTATTGTACGAAATAAAGAGATCAGTAAATATAATTGTTTGAATCTGTTAGTCAGTAAGTATTCATTATTTCATTGATAATAAATATTTAATATGTATTTAAAAAAAACAGTTTTTTTTTGTCTGAACGTGGTAGAGTTAATTGGATTCCCTTTTATGAGGTAATTTTTAGTTTTCTGTTGGCTTAATTTACAACAAAACATGAAATCAATTTCACATCAGTTTTAAAATTAATCTTCATAAAATAACATATGGAAAATGTTATATTTTCTTGTTGATCATGAAAAATATTATGCATGACTACTACTCATTCAGTGTATATTCTAACGTCGAATATATTTTATCCTTTAACCCCATATAAATCTTATTATTAAGTTTCAATGTCAGCCATTACTATGAACATCTAGACGACTCATAGATCATAAATGTAAGAGCTCATAAAGTCTGTAAAAGCATAAAATAAAAAATGGCTTTTTATAGTTATCTTGTAGAGTCTACAATGTAGACTATCTCGGTCGATAGCGGTATAGGTCAGTGTCCGTCGAGCCTGTGTTTATCTACGTCACAGAATTCTCGCAAGAACTAACCACACCTTATCTACCAAGCAGACAAGTCTCGGTCGATCACGTTGATTGTTGGGGAAAGAATCCACTAGAGTGTGGGAATAAAAGACTTGTAAATTGGGGGAGCAAAAATGAATGACGATAGAGTGATAAAAGGTGACAACTTGCGCGTTTGGTGTGCTTGAATAGCACTCAGAAAGATGCTAAACTAGCAAGGTTCCGTGTGATGGACAACCCCTTTGATATTCAAGTTTTTCGTCCTTTCATTGATATTAGAAAGTGACTTTAGGGAGACACAAACGAGAAATTTCGGTAGTACACGAGGGTTGCACGCAATGTCAAGGTCATTAGGATAAATGTCATAGGGAAGCAGAATATTCGAGGGGCAAGATAAATTCATGAAGTTCAAAATCAATGTGGCGTTTACGATTAAGGTAAAGCTTTTCTTACTGTTTATAAACAGAGTGGTTTCTTTATTGATTTTCATTCTATTAAAAATAATCAAAGTGAAATTTTATTGATTATTTTAGAATATTATTTTTAATTTATTCGAATCTTTACAACAGATAATATCCTGTAATAGTCAAGTCAATACACTTTAGAAAAGAGCAAAATTTTGAAATTTATTTTTAATATTAATCAATTTATCTTGATGACTAAATTTTAAACTACATGTTTGAACTCTCAACAATTAATAGTACTCGAGATATTTAATTGTTTACATAAAAAGTACCACTGTTTTTCGAACAATTGATTGTAGTTCATCAACGAATAAACTTTTTGGAGTTTTTGTTCTAATTGAAAGCTACATTTATGCTAAACATATAAAATGTATAAAAAAAACATTTTTATCTATGAAAAATAGATGTAACACTGGTGTAATTTTTTGTCAATTAATTAATGTGAATGGAAAACATTGTTCAAAAATTTGAATAACAATTATTAATTATTCTAAGAATAATAAAAAAGTGTATTCATCAAATTTTCACTCTCAACTGTACTTAAATATTTTTTTTTTCACTATTTCTCTACACTTAATTTTCTTGTGTTAATCGTTATACACCTATTTTCCCTGTGCAAACATAGAAGCAATATGATTGCAGTAGTCAATAATTTAGCACTATTTCCAAATTTTTTTTCATACCAAAGTGATAGTGAATATTACGAAACTGCTTAGTAAAAATCCATAAAATATGTTCAAATTAAATATATTACTACAACAGACATATAATATTCAATTTTGCTAAAAGTCTCATTTATTTTAACTAAACAGTCTTATTTGATTTCCAAGGCACATAAATGAAACATTGAAATAAACTTTCATTGAATATATACATCAATAAATACTATTTTTTGCACTTATCAACTGATGCACTCTCAAAATGTCTCGTGGTTTATTCCCGCGCTCTTTCTGCACCAAACGAGCATTTATATAAAACATAACGCAATAACTTTACTTGTTAAAACGTTTAGAGAAAGGTTTAATCGCTACTGGTTGTCGAATACACTCATGAGAACCACGAGAAAATATTGCACATAAAGTATACGAGATTCCAGGGATATAAAGTAACTCTCCTAGATGATCGTTTGTTGACCCTTCAATTGAAAGGTACTGCATGAATAGGTCGCAAGTGTAAATCAGCCTTGAAGTTCACCTACGCACTCGTCAATTATCAAAGAGCACGACTATCCCATTGTGCGTAAAAAAAAACGACAGGTTAACTCAAGCATACTCAAACAACAGACGTTTGAATGTTGTTAAGAGTCTCATGATATTTTTATTTGCATATTTTACGTCTATATTTTTTTTATTGTCATTATCATTATTTTTATTTATTTATTTTTTGCTTTATCTTTTACCAGATGAAGTAAGTAAAAGAAACAAAGAATAGAGGCGGGTAGAAAGGAAAAATAATATAGACGAGGTCATCATTTCATCACTAAATTGATTCTACTTCAACATGATCTATAGTCGAGACATTCTTCACTAACACATATCCTCAGCACCGATTCCTTAGTATTCGCGTGGGCACAATGACACAGAAAAAAATACTAGACCCTCAAGATGGTTTGCCAAGACATAAATTATAATTTTTCAATTGAATAAGAGTCAGGATACCAAGTGAGTAAAGAAAGAAAATTCATTGAGAAATCGGCCAGCGAAAAGGCGAGGCTTCATTATTGAGAAATCACTCATGCAATCTATCTTATTGATATCTTAATTTATTTTCATAGCTAACGATACATCAAGATATTCATTAATATTTTTTTTTGCAATAAAACATCTAGGAAATTAGCTAAGTATTCATTTTTATGGACGTCAGTAATAATATTTATGATTATCACTATTCAAGTGCTGTTAGGTTTAATTGAAAATTACTTTAAAGGATTACGTTATTTCAATTGTCATTTAAAATAGACATTTATCAATATTTTATATTTATATTAAGCCAAACTTCTTTATTTAAAATTGCTATTTCTCTTCTAACACTTATAGTATAATGTAAAAAATAAATGATCAGAATTTTGTATTCAATGCTACTAACTAAACCAGTGTTTTCATAAAAATTATACCTCAATATTTTGAGAAAATTTCTATGTTTGTATTTATTCGACTTTTTTCAAAATATTTGGGTAAATTTGAAGCGTTTTATTTGACTAAACAGAAATAGTATTTATTTTCTAAGCTTTTTTGATCAGACTATTTTATGAAGTTTCATTGAAATATGTAATGTTTGTTTAATTCATTTAATACAAAATATTTATTCACAAACTGTAGCCAAAATGGTTGATACTATAACAATTGTTAAGTCGAATAGCACATAGTTCATCAAAACAAACTACTGATTGGAATGAAGTATATAATAATCCAATTATTATCTCAATTGTTACAAAAGTACGTCTAGACATGTAGGAATGAAACAATAAATTAATCCAGAAGTCGAAAGTACATAATTAATAGCACAATCAAGATATTAATTAACACTTTCTTCATTAAATCCTGGAGGCATTTTGTAAACTGTAGTCATAATTCAAACGGCAACAATCAAGATAGCTGAGATCAATCTTTTTGCCTTAAAACTCTAGACTTATCTGAGACAACCACGAAATCCGAGAGACAAGTATCAATGCGTGCTTTAATCGAGAAACTACAGTAAATGGTGGGTGGGCAAAGCTCTGGGATTCCGACCTGTACAGTCCATTTTATATCTATACATATATACACTTAAAGAATATGTACATAGACATTTAGAGCATCGGTATAAGACTTCTGAAGCATAAAAGGTGATCCTAGTCCTTACGGAAGTAGAAACTTTGGGGATTACGAGAAAACCATTGAGATCTCTCCGGAAGTGAGGGCTCTGCTACTTTCGTCTATTTTCATTTTTTCTTCAATGCTGAAAATCCTCTTCGAGACTTTAAAAAGCTTATTTTCTATCTTTTCAGGAATCCTTTCGATCAAGAGTGGCGATGGACTTTACAGGAAGTGTTGGACGAATAGTTGAAGACCCTATGGAAGCACGAGCCATCGCGGAAAGTGAAGGACTTTTATGGAAGCAAACTTGGAGACCACCGCTGTCGAGGTTACGATCCAAATGTCCTGAAATTGATGACGGAGCACATGCTAGCAAACCTTGGTTTCACAAAGCAGTTAATAGAGAAAAAGCAGCAATTCTCGTGAAAGCATATCGCAAAATGAATGGGTAATTATGCCTTTTTTATTATCAATGTTTATATATATATATATATACATATCTTAATAGGTCAATTAATGCATATATTACTTGTCAATTACTTTATTAACATTTTAACTGAAGAATATTGTAGCTGTTAAATGTGAATGTTACCATCATGACTTGACTTTTTGAATATTTTATCAGAATGTTCGTTTTTTAGTGATTCAAGAAAAAAGTTCAGATTAAATTAAATCAGATCTGTAGTATGAGACTGGAATTTGATCGGATTTGACCGAACTTGAACAGTATCATTCTTTAAAATTCCTGGTATTTGATTTTAATTTAAGACACTGAAAATCACTCATAGCATTGACATTGAAAACACTTTAGATGTCTTATTTTAAAATACTTCACTAAAAATTTAGGTTTGAAATGATAGATGGTAAATCAATTAGCAAGAATTCAATTAATTTTTCTACTTTTTTATGATATAATGTTTGACTTAGACAACTTATTGATATTGATTATTATTCAATATACTAATTTATACAGTTTAGAAAGCTTAGTATGTTTATTTGAATTAAATTTACTCATGAATAAGTATAACATTGATTTTTATTAGATTTGATACATCATTAGAGGCAAATTTAATTAAATTTAACTAAATCTGATTTTTATTTCTGATCAGTTCTGAATTTTTCATCGTAAAAATACAATTTCGTTTAATTACTTTACTGATATTAAAAACTTTCAACTCATTTCTATTGTTTGTTAAGGAATAAATTGGTAATTTTTATCGACATCAACTGAATTTCAACAACTCTAATATGTAATTACATTTAAAGAAAAGGTTTCTTTCAAACTATAGGTATAATTTCAGATAAAAGTACCAATTTCATGGTTATACTTTCTTGTAGAGAAGTTTTTAGTCGTCAATGATTATTAAATAATTTTTATGACAAAGAAACTTGAACACCAATGATTAGTTTCGATAGACAGTCCAACAATCCTAAATTTTACAGTTGTATAACTATTGGTCTCGATGTTTCATGCATCTTAGAGTGGCGATTAAATTTCTAGGGTTGTTTTCCATAGCTAAAAAAAAATTACAGTGTTTAACTCGTAGTAAAGAATTCGAATGATTGCTATTGCTAAATTATAGAGATCCAAATGGCGATTTTATTCTTTTTTTCTTTTTGCTAAAATATCCTTTTATACTTATACCACTTGACTATGATTTGTCTCATGCAAATCTGCTGCTGTTTTTATCTACTAGCTATCGCCTAGTTATCAAAGATTTATTCTTCTTCTGTTATCTCAGATGACTTTTATCACTTCTTCTTATCAAGATCTAATCAAAACTTTTTCATCTTACCGTCAATAATGCTCTTTAAAGAAATCGATTAATCAGTAATGATTATTTTTGATCTTCTAGAACATAAAAGAAATGATTTATCTCAAAAGAAATAAATTTTAGCAAAGCTCTAGGGTTAAAGAAAAAAATGAAATATTTTTATCGCAGCCAAGAACTATTAGATACTTTGGTTTGAACTTTTTATATTTTGCGTTATGTTCTGGTCAATTTATCAATAATATAAATTGATGTAATCGCTACATACTGATCGTTATTTTTTCTTGTATGATTTCTCTTCACAAAACTTAAAACATTTTTCAACGTTTTTGTGTGTGATAAAATAGTACCATCTGCAAATCTATGTCATTTACTTTTTCATTTCCTACTGGCTTATATGGTCAACCTTAAAAGCCGTCTTCTTTTCTTGGACATCGCGGTACAATTTATGTATTTCTTAGAGCAAAGTCTCCATGTCCCATTTATATTCTCACTTCTTCCGCTTGAGAAGTCGCCTAACTAATTGCGGACTGCGAGTAGAAAAAAATTTTTTTTAAAAAAGTTACTAAGTGAAGACTTCGTGATTTTATGTTCGTACAGCTGCAAAGCAATCAATTTTACGAGCAATCTTGGCGTCACGTTTTTCATAGTCATTATATTATTACTTTCGCCCACTTTTATATTCAACCTAATTATAATAATAATAATAATTCCTAGTGAATCGTATTTTATTCACTACACTTTATTGATTTTATAACTTGTAACAAAAATTAAATATTCATATTTATCTCTTTATTCTACTTTCTATTAAAACTCTAATTATAATTGAAGTTGGATAACCATTTTTTTTTATTTTTTAGTGTATTCCTTGTAAGAGAAAGCAGAAGTTATCCAGGAGCTTTTGTCCTGACTTATAAGTACAGCGAAAAAATTTTTCATGCTCAAATACAGCGGGTAAGTTTTTATTCATTCATTTCTTTTACGATTCTAAACCATCAAATTTTACAATAAGCTTTTGTTAATATTAAAGTTGAATTATAGTTGGATAAAAAATGAAGCCAATTTGATCCATCTACTTACATAGAATACTCTTGGTCCAGTATTATCATCCCAATCATATTCCACAACTGGACCAGCATTAATTGCCTTGTCGATGATGATTCAGTTATGGGTCATGATTAGAATGATAACAGTCGATGAAACAGCTTTGCTATTTTCAATAAATAATAATTTAAAAATTAAAAGTTGAATCTATCAATTGAGACTTATTTAAATAAATGATGGTTTAAAGTATCTGATATAAATTGTTGCTCAACTACCAAAGAAAAATGATAATTAAACAATGAATTATTTGTGTACTTTTAGACACGTGATGAAAAAGGAAATGGCAATATATATACTTTAGACAATGGCGCAACAAAATTCTTCGACCTTGTCCAATTGGTAGAATTTTACAAATTGAATGCAGGTTCACTGCCAACAAGACTGACTCTTTACGTGGACAACAAATCACCAGTATCATCGAAAAGTAGTAGTGCCTCAACTTCTGTCTCATCACCATCGTCTATAAAACAATCTCGAAGTCCACGAAAGAATGACATCGATCCCAAAACATCACGCAGTTGAACCTAGGGATTCCAGCCGTTCGCTGGGGTCAACGCATTCGTCTCTAAGCATTCTCCAAACATCAATGAAATAATTATCATCGACAGCGAAGACGAAGACGACGTAACTATCAATCATAATGACATCCGTTCGACTCCATCGGGCTGCTGGACTCTTTTTCGAGGCAATTCCGACGAATGGGACTCTTAATTCCTCTAGTTAACCTACTTTTTTAGTTATCATTTCAATGATAAGTAAACTACACTGATATGTAGTAGATGGAAAATTTATTCCACTTGAATCATCAATAATAACGAAAGAAATCCCACCGTGCCATTGATAATGATAAAAAAATTTTTTAAAAACTTGAAACAAAAAAATTAAGTATTTAGGGACAATAGGGATATCAAATAACATAGAAAAATATCTTCATTGTCACATCGTCGTGGATAGTGTCAAAGTATTGAATTTAAAAAAAAGAAAACTGACCAATGAAAATGTTCTGAGGCATTTGAAAAACAAAATTTTTTTAATGAAAACTTGAGAGGCTTGTCTTTAATTCAGAGACTTGTAGGCTACTTTGAGTGGCGAATATTCAATTGTATAAATAATTCTTTATCTCGCCACAACTCTGATATGGAGGCAATCAATGTGATTTCTAGAACTGCTTCAAGAAGGCGTTATGTATGCTATTTTAAATAATAAGCGAGATTTGCGCCGTTTTTTGAATATAAAACTGTTGATGGAATTTCAATTAGTGAATGAAAGCAAATTTCGAAAAATTCCAAAAAAAAAAAAAATTTGTATGTAGGTGAAAACAAAAAAAAAAAAACTGTCTTTTTCTATTTTCTACATGTTGTTTATGCAACTATTTAATCCTCGACATTCGCGAGGGAAATTCGTGAGAATGCATCTGAAAGAGTAAAAATAGATTATAAGCGTATGATTGTATTTCTTTTTTTTTCTCTGAAAAACAAATCTACGTGACTGACCAATGCGCCAATACTGCGTGGATCATAAAATCATCTATTATTGAATTAATATATAATAATTATTGTTAACTCGAGAGAATCTCAGACTTTTTAACTTTTTGGCAAAAGTTAAAATTAATCTGAAAAACAACAAAGCACATTTTGCATATTTTTCCATTTTTCTTCGAGTTATTTTTGGAGTATAAAGTGCTTTACTCTTGACTCATACTTTTTTTGTAACAACCGAGAAGCCTTAAATGTTAAAGAAAAATTGTATAAACATTTTTTATAAATATTTATTAATTCATATAAAAGGTTAACTATTGAGTTAATATTCTTTAGAAAGTATTTATTTATTAATTTTATCAAATTTTATTATAAAAAATTTTCCTAACATTAACGTTATTTTTCTTTAGCAATTAAGTTCTTCAAGGCTTTGAAATTTGTTTAAGTCAACATTCTTTGGGATGTAGAAGTCTAGAAATGAGTTATTTTCAATGTTTTTTGTTTAATTTATTACGGGGTGTGCCACAAAGCCCAACGTCCATCTGAGCTATATGGGGCGAGCTTAATGAAAAAGAAACAATTATGATACATAAATAATTGTGAAAAAACATGAACCAAAAAAGTAGTTCGATTATTCTGGTCTGTTTGAGGAGATTACTGCGCCAAGTAATACGGCCCGATCTCGCAGGAGTGTTAAAAATAATTTGCATTCTAAACTCAATTGTAAGATAAAATGGACTGAGGGAAATATTATATTAATGTGCGAAAGTTTTTGGATGTAATAAAAATTAGTAATTAAAAATAGTAAAAAAAAAATATAATAATTTAAAAATGAAAAGCATAAAACCCTCGTATTATCGATGGCGAATAGAAATTAAAAAATAAGTTACTAATTAGTGTGACTTGTTCAGATATTAATGATCTCATATGTTGCAGACGTTCTGGACGCGCGTTTGATCTGTTAATAGTTAATATACAGCAGCAAGGGGGAGGAAAATTTTAAGTATGAATGAATTTAAATAAGTTAAGATGAATGGAAATTAAAAAAAAATACTGAAATATTATATATATAAATAGAATAAACTGAAAAAAATGAAAATGGAAAAGAGTAAAATGCTAGTAAAAGAACGCAATTGCAAGAGAGATAAATAAGAGTGAGAAAAAATTTGATAATAAGTTTGGAAAAAAATTTATTTAAAAAAAAAACTAAATGAAAATTCAATGAACATAATGTAAAAATCATTATTTAGATAGAATTATTCGAAATTATAAATTTGTGGATTTCGACGTGTCATGACCAATCGAAATTAATATGAAAATTATGACAATGAAAGATGTAAATTAAATTAGTTTTGGCTTCCTATTTTTTAAAGTCATCGAGGGAATTAATTCAGTAAAACAATAACAATAATAACTAAAATTATAGCTGAATAAAAACAACAATAATTATAAAATAATAACAATAATAATAATATTAATTAATGATGATTAATAATTAATAACAATAATTATTATTGAATTATTAATACCGTGGAAAGAGTTATGAAGTACGAGTCGAGGTGATGATGATTTATGAATGGGTGTGTGTACGTATGGATGTAAATAAATTCGTAAGTGAGATATAAATCGTTAAAATCAACAAAAAAAAAACTTTTACACAATGTATTATTATAACTCGCTGAGAACCACTGATTCTATCGATACCTACTTTTTAATAATATATTTTTTCATTGATTATTTATTTCCTCTTTATCTACGTACGTGAAAAATCCCGTGCGTATTTTCTCAATATAAAAATAAAACAAAAATTATAACTTTTCAATATTAAAAACGAAAAATAGTAATAATTAAAATGTGAAAGTTAAATTGGTGAACAACAAAAAATTGTACTATACACTTTGTCAAGATCTTCAATCTTTTTGAAGACAAGAGAGTAAATAACAACACTCGGTATTAATATTAGAATTAGTGCTTTTTCTAGGGACAAAAATCGTTAAAGTAATTGAATCTTTTGCGAATGAATATAAATAAATTTAAAAATAATATTTATAACGGTCTTTAACATCAACAAACGCTTTTTTTCATTTTTTAAATTATAATTCTGTATTAAATATGTTTATAAAATTAAAAATATATATATTTTTTTATTAAAAAAATTTGGAAAAGTTATTCTTCATTAATATAAAAAATATTTGGCCTTTCGTGTAAATATGTCTATTTAGGCCAGTTTTTACGGGTTCATTAATATTAATAATTTAAATCATCCTTAAACAAATACATTGATAAATTATCCATTTTGAATGGCGGTCGCTCAATTTAGATTTTTTAATCATTGTGTGAGTTAAGGATGTTTGATTAAAAAGAAAATTTTTCATTAAATGATTGAAAAAAATTTCTTTTATCAAAAAGGCGTTTGTTATTAATAAAGAATCGCTTAAGTAATACTAATAATATTGTCTTGATCATTAATGAAGTAAATTATAGTATATATTTTGTATTAATCCTAACACCGAATTAAACGGCAAACGCAGAGGTCCGTATAAGACTGAATTAAGTGCCGTGTTTGTCTCAACGTCTGTCTGATCATCATCAAAAATAAATCGTATATCTATCTAATATAAAATTTTGGATAAAATTTTGTTACGTTTATATATATTTAACTCTACATTGTAAACTGTAAAAGGAACCTCAACTAATAAGGTCCGATTATCATTATATTATTTTTAAACACATTGTAAAAATTTGTAAGTTTCAAAGTAATGACTAATATGTACGTAGTGTTCTCCTCTAGTCATTACAAAAGACTTGTTAAAAAAATCATTCGACAAAACATACTACTTTATGTATTATATAAAATTGACAGACATTGATAAAGATGATTAAAAAACTTATTTCTCGCAGTAACATCTCAATAAAGTTGTAATGTCTTAAAATGATTGTAAAATTAAAACAAATTAAATGTTGGAATGGAGTATTCGTAAAGGAGCTACGTTTTTGCAGCGATATTAAAAAATTCATGCAGATTTTAATGAGAATTGGACGATAAGAAAGAAATCGTCTGGTATAATTAAGAAAATTTTTCCGTCTCATGCGAATACTTCATTAATTAATTATAGGCAAAACTGCGATAAATAGGTAATGGCACTCACGCTTCATGAATAAGACGCGGATATCTCTGCGCTTGACGTGATTAATATCGGTTCATACGTGCAAAGCATGATGAATTAAGCAAAAAGACGTGTGATAAAGAGTAGATACGGTTCGTGAACGGTGGCAATAAATGCCCCAACGAACTTTTTTTCGCTTCCGTTCTAGTGCCGGCCAGTATGTTGACTTCTTTAACATTGAACAATAGTCGATGTTAATATATGTTATTTTTTGCCAAATCACGTATTGTACTTATCATTACTCATCTGCAATGCCATTTCAACTTGTAGCTAAAATCAGACAAAAGAAAATTTTTCATATCTCTATTTTATATTTAATATACTTCTATTGACTCTTTCATCATTGCTATTATTTAAAAAAGAGAAAAAATTATTTTTCATGAAAGATGTTCTCTCTATGATAAGAAAATATTCTTGCTTGAATGAAATTCATTTGATTTCTAAACATTCAAAATATTTTTTGTATTTGTATAATGATGATTTGGTAATTTTTTTTAAACTTTAAGAAAAAAATTTTTAAATATCTTTTGTTGACATATTCGGCACTATTTTCGTTTACTAAACACCTCTTATTTTATGGTAGATAGTTAAGACGTATTTATTAATTGCTATAAAATTTCTTTAAATGTAACTAATTAAAATTGTTTTTTTTAAATAGTGTAAAATATTATTTTGTTGATAATTTATTACCAAGAATGTAGATTAATGTATTGAGAATAATATTTTTTATTAAAAATGTTTGAAACAAAATACTAAATGAATTTCTTGTTGTAAGATTTCTCTTCATTAAAAGTAATTTTTTCTCAGCATACCAAACCTTACGTTTTCCATGTAGCGCGATGATTATTTTTATTCATTTTTTATTCAAAACACAAACTAACTAATAATTGTAATAATAAAAACACAAAAATTATAACTAATAACAGAATAAAATAATTGGTAATAATTAAAAAAAAAATTTCGCATTACTCAAGACTGAACGTTAACGAGTATGCGTATCGAATTTAGTTGTACTTTTAATACTTTAATTATAGAAAATACATCAGTATTAATATTAGCATCATCAATTGCATCCTAATTGCGGCATGAGGTACACGTTAATTATTTCTTACAAGTAAAATTCTATCAACTTTCTCCTTCATTATTTCAAACCTCATCGTCCTTTCTTTTTTATGCGTGCTTAGTAGGCTATTCTTAAAACAAATCAAATAAAATACAAAAAAAAAATCAATACAGGGTGTTTATAAATAATTAAGTTTTAAGTACTGGCAATTATTTTGCCAAACAAAAATATAAAAAAAAAAATTTGAAATCAACGCACAAACTTACTTGATGTTGCATTATTAGCGATTATTGTTTTTAATAAAATAATTTTGTTTCTTCACGATAATAAGCAGCGAGTTGGTTATTTAATTATGTTCTTTGTAAAACTCGGTGTTTATTATTACATATAAATAGTCATAAAAAAAACATGTAAAGTTAACTAAGATAAATTACAAAACGACTACCAAATAAATTGTACATTTACAACACACTGTTTGCGCGTCTAGAAAACGCACTATTGACGGTCATTATATTTCAATAGCATATAGACATCTTTTTAAAAAAATCATTTGTTTAAAAAAAAAAACTAACTAACAAATATATTGAATGATCGTCAAAAAGTTTTTTGTTTCTCTGACGACTGACTGCGTGTACACAAAAAAGCTCGTCTCATACTTACTAAACAATTTTGTGTATATATAGATATATGTATATACATAGAATAGTTTTATGTATGTATATACGTACATGTGTATATAAATATACATATAACATGAAGATAAGTTCAAGAGAAACCTTTATGAATGAAGTATTACATTAATAAATGAAAAAAAAATACAGATAAGAATAATAATAAAATTTTTAAAAAACTGCAGTTAAGATGCGGGTTAAAGCCACAATTTTCGAATCACCTGGCGTTGGTGCCGGAACAGGGCGAAACTTTGCGACATATCCCCGACAAAAGCAGTTATCCTTTGTTTTCCTTCATGAAAAGAAATAAAAACTGTAATCCACCATAAACGTGAGCACCTGTAGCGCCGCAATATGTAAAGATTATTGTTATATCTTTGTATGAACCTTTAATACGCAATAAATAAATATATATGTATACCGTCATTCAATTTATTTCAATAAATTATTCTCTCATATTTCCCAACTGAATTCTATATAAATACAACATTATTTTTTTGAAAAGTTAACTTTAAGTAAATAATAAATTGATTTTCCGAAAAAAACGATAAAAGTTTTTACATCATGTTTTTTTTTGTTTCTAGCTTTAATTAAATTCCAAAGTATCTTTTAAGAATTTTAAACATTCAGAATTATCGATAGATTAATTGAAAAATTTATCATGCCTACTGAACATGTAATGAAGGACATAAAAGTTTAGTTGAAATTTTCTTTAGATCAGATAAGTATTCAAAATAGTTACCTTTTTCTAGGCTTCACCAAAAATTGATTTCATTTAAGTATACTGTCATAGCTTCATCTAGAATTCAGAATAAAACACTGAAGATAATTACCAGAAATGATAAGAGTTTTTCTTCACTCAAAATTAAAGAAGCTTTTGTTCTTAATCTTTGAATTTACTGCTACAGTCTGTCAGAAGTCATTTTTCGAGAACGAGCTACATATATCTAGCCTACTTAGTATGATGGTGATAAAGAAAGCTGTTAGTTATAAGAATGCTTATTTCACTACAATCAGATATTTTAATCTTCTACATCATTAATACCTAGAAGTATTAAATTATTCTTCCAAAACTATGAAGAAGAAGTTAAGAAAATACCTAGTTGGAGACCAAGTAGAGCATTTATGCTCGGTTTGAACTTCTGTCTTGTACAATTGTGTTCTTGATTTTTTGTGTTTCTATTAATTTTATATATGGTAATGTTATCTATTATTACTCCGTTTCCATAAAAAATTATTTTTAATTACTCTGTTATAATATTGGTACTTAATATGCTTCAGAAGAAGCAAGAACTTAGTCGTAAA